AACTATCCCAATAACCACAATCAACATTCCAGCAACCCATGAACACAAAAAGAACCTTAGACACAGGTAATTGTTTATCTATTTGGCATGTAAGACCTATCCCAACTGGACCAACACCATGGAAGACATAAGCTGAAGCAACCAGAAAACCCTCACCAACTCCCACACTCTAACAGGTAGACAGTGTGTTTATGGAACATATTGTTGCCTTTATAGCAAATGCTATAACCAAAGCTCTTTTCAACAACATCACCTCCAGGTCACAAGACACCCACAACAAACCACCCTAATGACCACAATCAACATTCCAGCAACCCATGAACAAAAAAAGAAGCTTAGACACAGGTAAATGTTTATCTATTCAGCAGGTTAGGCCTATCCCAACCGGACCACCACCATGGAAGACATAAGCTGAAGCAACCAGAAAACCCACACCAACTCCTACCCTATACTCTACCAAGTAGTGTGTTTAAGGAACACATTGTTGCCTTTATAGCAGATGCCATAGCTAAAGCTCCATTCAGCAACATCACCTTCAGGTCACACCTGATGCATGAAATTTGTTCCACAGCCATATTCTATATGGATATCAACAATGCTGACCCAGTTGTACTTACAGAGTATTTGAAAAAATGCCAAAACAGTGAAATTCAGGTAAGATAATTTCTATTCTGTATGTTAATATACAAGGGGACTTAAACTACAAAAACTTGGAACTCTTCGACACCTGTAATAAACAAGAAATTGAAATTGTCACTGTCAATAAAACGTTACTCAACTAAACCTTGAAATTAATCTTGCAAAACCAATACTCCAGAAGAACTACCATCGTAGACAAAAAGATAACTTTCCAAAACCCTATCAATCCCTGCAGTAATGAATCTGTCCTTTTGAAAATGCATATAACAACAATCCTACAACCACAGTGCTAGCAATATATATATTTCACCAAGCACAAAATCCAGCACATGGTTTATATTGAATATAATTGACAACTTAAATACATAAATTATAGGAAACCTCAACTCTTAACACTGTAACTTCCACTGCAAAACTACTAACACAAACAACAGAATATTACAAACATCAACTAAAGACAATGATCTTACCATCACTAACGACAATTCCCCAACTCATACCCAAAATGATGGCTCCAATGACATATTAGACCTAACAATTACCACTCATAACATGTTACCACTTACATTCAGCTTCAAGGTATTACAAATCATAGGAGATGACCATAACTCCATCTCTCTTACCATACACCACAGCCAACAACACTTTACTTCACTAAGACTAATTGTGATATATTCAGAACTAAACAAGATGAAATAGTCCTTGAAACATATGCATACACCACAAATCATTCCAGAATTGACAGTTATGCCAAAAACATTACTGAAGCCATCCATTCATCCCTTAAGGTGTCAGACCCAAAGAAAAAGAACATAATAAACCATCACACATGAAAATTAACACTGCAAGTTCATAAACGCATTTGAGAAAAAAAAAAGACACTTAAGACACCTATTCATTTCTGTTAGAGACACACATCAACTCAAGGAAAACAATACTATTCACGAGCCAGTGAGACAACAACAAGATGTCAACTGGGAACAATCTCCTCCTCAGAAGACATTGCTAGATAAAACCCAGCAACTTTCTGGAAAAACTAAAGATGTTATATAACCTATCACATTAGCAGTCAACTCACAACCTAATATGTAACAACAAAACCACAATAATGGACAGTGAAAAGACAGACCTTTTTGCTGAATATCATTCTAACCTTCTTACAACACCTGAACAAACCAAATTCCATACCCAGCATTACAATATAGGTAATACTCACTTCAACATCAACTCAAATCTATATCAACCAGTGTTCCAGGTAAAATATGATTAAATACAAACCAACAGTAGTACACAAGATTCAGATAACTATTTCACTAGACCTATAACAAAAACAGAAATATAACTCATTATCAAAAAACTCAAAAATTCTGCCCATGGCAAAGATGACATATTGAATGTAACAACCTAAAATTTAACAGATAACTACATAAACTACCTATCCAACTAATTCCACCTCTCATTAAATCTGGCTACTATCTATTGTCTTTGAATAATCAAAGTCATACCAAAACCCAAATAAGAGCTACATAATCCAACTGATTACAGACCTACAAGCTTATTAAACTGTATCAGTAAACTATTAGAAACAATAATAGCTAAAAGATTAGTACACTACCTATAAACAAAGAACATACTATTTGATATCTAAAACCCTTCATGGAAAAACAAACAGACAGCCGACCACTTGTGGAGACAGGGTTTAACAGCAAACATGCTATAGTAGCAGCATTCCTTGACATGAGAAAAGCTTTTGACTTAGTATGGCATAAAGGCCTACTGGTTAAACTTTCTAGCATTAAGCTATCACAGATATATGTATGATGGATATCCAATTTCCCATATAACCATTATGCAAAGGTAAAAATTAACAACAAAATATCAAACTCATTTTCACTACAAGCAGGAGTCCTCCAAGGCTCAATTCTATTATACATCCTTTTTGTTAATGACATCCCCTTTCTGAAACCAACTTCTACATACATGTCACAGTATGCTAATGATGTAGCCATATGGAGCACTCCATGTGACCCCTTCGTTGTTGCACAAGAGTTCAAATATCACTAAACCATCTCAATTCACATTGTGACAAATAGAGAGTAGCACTCAACTCAAGTAAGACACAAGCAATAGTGTTCCACAGACAAATTAACAAGAAAAGAAAAGAACTCCCAAGGTGAAACTCAAGATACATGACACACGCATTACCTTTTCAAGCACTGTCAAATCTTTAGGAGTTACTTTAAACAAACAATTAACTTGGATCAATTATTCAAAAAGATTAACACCAATGCTAACCAAAATATAACTATCTTAGAAAAGTCAGAGGGAAAACTCAAAGGATGTAACCCAGATACAAAAATAACAATATTTAAAGCATGTACTTGAGTTCAGAAACATGATGACATTTAATATGTTCAATTACTTATTTTAGAAATTGCAAATTCATCAAAATAAAACAATAAGATTAACATACAGGCTACTAACCTATATCCATAAATTTATCTTAACTCAATATCCAAAATTCATACCAAAAAATATTGCATCAACAATCTTGCTACAAAATATTATAGATGGCTGAAAATCCAAGTACATCAACAAATCAATTCCCATCATTAGCAGCAACACCATTAACATGGTATACATACATACATGTCCCCATTTAACAACACTAAAAAATAAAGAATCAAGAATAAATGTATATTAACATATGTATACCTTTTCCCCAATTTAGGCACACAGACAGAGCAATGTTTGGGTATACTATTTAATGCCCCAGCAATGAAAGTGGGTTTTTCTCCTGGCACTCCTGTTTTCCCTCTAAATGTAAGTTTATGACATTAGATTTTTTGATCCAGTCAAGGCACTTGGGCTGCTGTTCAAATAGGTCCATATGCCCCCCTTTTTTTTATTGTTGAAGTATTCTTAGAGCTGTCAACTAGATAAACACTGACTGTTCCAATCACCAAATAACTTCTCAAGCTTTCTTCATGCTCTTCAGATGTCTCAGGACAAAAATTCACATTTTAAAATCCTTGTATACTTTAAGTCAATTAAATTGTCTCTAATCCTTTTCTAAGTAGCAAAAACATAACTTTAATCATAGGCTCAACAAAGAGACCAGAAGCATTATACACTCCTACACACCGGGCAGATGCAAAAACATTTAAAACTTTAAATTCCGTACATTCTACACTGCCTAAAACTAGTTTTATTGTGTTAAAAGCAAACAATTTCTCTTTTCATCATAAAATTCTAACTGAGTCAATGCTGTTCCATTTTAAAAATCCCGCCATGAATCAGAAATGCCACTGGGTTGACTATAGCAGTAAATCCACCATGAAAATTCTATTATATTTATTAATTCTGCAACATAAATATAGTGAGATGGTCAAACTTAACTGTATTAGCTGCCAAAAAAGTGATCATAAAACTTTTATTTAAAATAAAATTGAGAAGAAACTGTACTAAGAATATTGCACAGAAACTATTTTCATTTAAGAAATGTATAACAAGTCTTATTTAAGAACTTTCTCATAGATAATTAAAAATAAGTAAAACTGATTAATATCTTAAAATTTTGCAAAAAGAAAAGGGTTTAACCAATCTGTTTTTAAGTTGTGACATATATCTAAGTGTAATGCTTACTGTAAGTTGAAAATTCTAAATATTAAATTATTCATACTATCTGTTAGTTATTTTATTAAAGGATTACATAATTTTTCATGGATAAATGATAGAAAATTCAATATTGTTTGCTACATTTTTTGAAAGACAAAGATAAAGAGTATTCCTCAGCCATGCTTTTCACAAAACATGTAGGATATGACAAGCAGTATCCTGCAAAGTAATTAGTATAGTTTCTTTAAAAAAAGTATTTAGAATTACAACATTAAACTAACAAATGGCAGGGGTTTACAGAGTTTAAGGCAACAGTCACGATGAGACATGGTTTTGAAAAACAGAAGTATCCAATGCTTTGTAATTAAGTAAAAAAAAGGATTATGTACAGATCTAAGGTGGACTACTAATAAAGATAAGGGCTAGATAGATATGAGATGTCTTTTTGGTAAACTAGAATAAGATCACAATAAAGAAGTTTCCCTTACACTCAAAATTTAAAATGAGCTACGTTTATGAGAAATTACTAATATTAATACGTACAAATTCATAGTCATTGTTATTACAGTTTATTAATAGTTCATGTATTTTTAGAAATTCAGTTTCAATGTTGATCCCTAAGATTTTGCTGAAATGGTGCCACTGCAGGAATGACTGAGGTAAATCTGCCACAGTTTGTACTTACAGATATGATACTGATGATATTAACTGATATAAATAAAGAGAGCCTCATGCAGTACAGATATTCAGATATAAAGTTTATAAACAGAAGTTTCAGAAAACAAAGCAAAAATTGTTAATCTAAATTCAACACTATTCAAGACTTTAGTCTACTTCACTACATATTTTATTTTAGTATGCTTGCTTCCTGAAAATTGTTCTACCAAGTCTCATGTTTTAAACATAAAATTCAACCTTTTGTAGTTGTCTCTTAAAAATTCACATTATTATAATACTTTCAATAATAATCTTGGTCCTTAATATAACATTTTTAGGAAATACCTGATAATGTCTTTTAACTAAATAATGTGGCTGGCTAATTGTGTAATCAATTTATCATCTGGAATTATTCTAAAAAAACATTTTATCTCATTTTCATTTATCATTAGAAAAAAAAACAGTCTTACAAAATGCTTTTATACTGTATGTGGATTTGATGCTAAATGCTTCCATTACTTTAAAATATTTTTCTTAAAATGACAAATTATATTAAGCATGAAGTTTTCTATGTGCTGAATATTATGCATTATGTTATTTAAAAGATTTAACAAAATTGTTTCCTTTGAAAAGTAAAAGTACATTATGTCATATTCCAAATGAAAACTTGAAATTAAAGGAATAATATTATTTTAAATAGTTTTAACAAAACTGAGTATTATAAAATTTGCTTTCTTTTTAAATATATTTTATTTTTAAATATATAAATGAGCAAAACCACTTTGTACCTAGTGTAACTTGGCACTTTAACTGGATTCTATAACACAGAGAAATCCCTTATTAAACTGCAAATTTATGTGAAACACCTTAAAACAGGTGCTATTAGTTTTGTATTACACAAAACAATGGGCATACAAAAGTGTGAAAGTGTGAATTTTGCTGTCTTATTCTAATGTGTTTACAAAGTTCCATTTTAAATACATGTATGTACAATAAAAATGCATCAAGTAACTTACCTTCAAACAATACAAATCAGTCATTGATAATCAATGTTTTGAAAGTAAAAAAATAGTTTCAATGTATTTAAATATTCTACTTCTGTGGCAAATTTCAAGAAAGATTTTTTAAGGTGCATCTGCCTTTTACCTTTGACAGTCTGTGAATTAACCAAGCTCTATATATTTTTAATATACACAGAGACTAGAAAATCACAAAAATGTTTCAAGGTTTAAACTTCACCAAAGGTATGTTTTTTGATGAAAGACACTTATCACACACCCACTCGGCATATACTTCTACAGTAAGGAGGTGAAAAGCTGCATCTGTGAGCCCTGTGCATATCCGGTGAAACCAGAAATTGCATCCACTCTCACAAAACACAGCTTGATCATTGTCATGAACTTCTTTGTGACATATTCCACATGGATAGATGGGTGGAGCATTAGGATTCTGGGGATTAAACACCATGGGTTGATCTGGTGGGTACATCTAGAAGACATAAAATGTTGTACAATATATATTTACACATGCTGTATATGATATATTTATTAACAAGAGATAATATTTATTACTATTACCTGCAGTAGTCTAGTATATGTGGTAGTTGTTTTCTGAAGGTCAGACCAGTGTTCTTGTGAACTGCATAAAAATCAGGTCTGATGACAGTATAAATATGTATAGAAGTTAAATTATAATTTCAAAAAGGACAATCAAAAATTAATAGCTTATGAAATTTATGTAATATTATGATGTCAAACTTTCAACATTAAAAACCAAATCTTAAACCATCATTTGGCATTCTGTTACACTTACTGTTTATACAAACTGTTCTAAAAAAATATGAACTATTTTAATGTGTTTGAATAATATAGCCCAGAGAGAATAGTGTGTTAACTTTTTCTGAATTTCAAGACCACAACAGTCTATTTTGTGTACATCTTATTTATATGGACACTTTTATATACTGTCATAATGACATGTTATTTTTCTACACTGAAAATGTATTTCTGACAGATCTTATTTCTGCTCGCATACAAAGCTATTCTCATTCAGCGCTGCCCTCTATTTTCAAAAATATTTTAGCATGCCACAAGCCTTTCACTCCCATGCAACTCTCGATTCCCATGGTTTAACTGATTCTTGCATGCAAATTGTCACGCAAGAAACCTCAACCAATAGTAGTGCCATATACCCATGCGACTCCTATTCTATTCTACTTAACTATCACTTTGAGTTTACACAGAAATATAAGCACTAGTAGACAATGGGAAGGAAGGGTGGGAAGTGCAAGTGGAAATGAGTAGCTATAAGAAACACATTTTCAGTGTAGGAAAATTATAACTTCTGACAAGGTACCTTACTTCTTCTCACATGCATAGCTAGTGCAAGGGAGAAAGTAGAAGCTTCCGAAGAACACCCTAACGAGGGAACCCTCTAATAAGAGGATTATGCATAGGAGATTGCACCACTTCTGTACCAGGTGGAAAATTATAGGGAGCACATCCCAATGGGAGAGAAAACAGTTGGACAGCAAACATAACTACAATATACTATAATTTCAATCTCCCTAATGAACAGATGTGCCCCAAAGTGTAGAGTGGCTAGGGGGCAATGGACTGTACACATCAAGACAACTGTGTCCAAAACTTATCCACTGATAACCAACATCCATGAGGGGATAGGATGAGGATCAGGCCATCGGTAAGTCAACTACAATTCAAAACTCAACCACCAGAGGTAGGAAAAAGAATCATACCGTCTTCACCTCAAGTTCAGCCGACTGCAGGGAGAAATTCCACCACTGATCTGTAAACAGGGCACATGTGAGAAGAGTGAAATAACATACATACATATCCCATTCAAATCAAACAGACCAGAACAACCTCATGCGCAGTAACATCATCGGCATAAAGACATCGAGGGGTACCACAAGAGGAAGAAGTGGAACAACCAACAAGCGCACCCACCATGACCCATGACACTGGCATTGTGCACTCGAGGTGAATTGAGTGAGGGACCAGGGACTCCTTGAACACATGTGAGGACTTATTTTGATTGGTTCAGCTCTAAATCCAAAACTCATCCACTGATAACCAACAGGGGTAGGATGAGGGATCCCAATCAAAGGGGTGAGCTGTATTTATGCTGGCACAATACATGTGTGAGTATATCATGTTGATTGGTTCAGCTCTAAATCCAAAACTCAATCACCGGGAACCGACTTCCACATGGGCGGTAGAATAAGGGATCCTAATCATTAGGATGGCACACTCCAAAACTACAACATCACCTCGGACAAACTCGTGCAGAGATGGAGCGTCCATTTGGAGGACATCTCGTCATCTACACCAGAATGGCAGGGATGGGCAACAATCCCCTTCTGCTTTACCCATTAAGTCCATGAACAGACATAGTTATGAAGCAAAGATATCTTGATAAATAACCAATAAATCATCTTGTGGAACACCCCATCTCTAGTTTTATGTGATTGTAATGAACAGTGCAATTTGTGGCCATGAAAAATTATGAAAGTGAAGTCAACATGTCTTTACAGTGTGGGTTTTAGTACAATTCTAAGTGATTGAAGTATACCAGGACAGGCACTACTCATCACAGAGTGGGATCCTGGTCAAAACATTAAACAGGCCCCTGAAAAATAATATATATATAACCAAAGAAAGAAAACTTACCCAGTTATTACCAAAGAGTGAAGGATGGCAACAGGTGTAAGACAGTACCCTGATGAGGAAGAAACAATTACCTAAGGCAGAAAATGGGAGATGAATGTATGAGGTGTAGTCCCAGTGCTCGAAAGATGAAGTACCTCCAACAGATGACGTGGTTGAGATGCAGATAAAAGGTAAGGTGCCTGAATGGAGTAAAGACTCCAGGAATTGATTACAGGAAAGAGAAGACAAGGAGTATAAGGCCAATTGAATCACAAGCCGAACCTAATGGGTAAGAGAGGAAGGGAAAAAAAAAACTAACAGAGGAGTGGTGCAAGGGAAAGAAACTGTGTGAAATGGAGTCAGTGGAAAGAAGCCTTGAAAGAAATATAGCAACCCAAGCATGTACAGGACAGAAAAGGTCATTCAGATCCGACCAAGAATAAAGGTGGAAAATGGCAAGAAATTATTGGGTTTGTTTTGTTTTTACTTTTGTGCAAAGCTACACATGGGCTATCTGCACTAGCCACCATCACCCACTGCCAACTCTTGGGCTACTCTTTTACCAACAAATAGTGGGATTGACTGTCACATTATAACACCCCCACAGCTGAAAGAGTGAGCATGTTTGATGGGATGGGAAATTGAAACCACAACCCTCAGATTACAAATCAAGTACCCTAACCACCAGGACATGCCGGACTGGTAAGAAAGGAAAATGACGAAAAGAATATTCCACGTGAGCCCCCAAAGAGTAGGTTAGTAAAATCGATCCAAAACAAAAAGAACATATTAAGCCAAAACAGCTGGGAAAACCAGATCTGTGCTGGGCAGGAAGGATTAATTAGAAAGATCTGATCCAGAGTGTCATGGATGGTCAAAATCACCTTACGAAGAAGTGACAGAATGAGAAAAACTAAAGTTATAAACTGGATCTAATCCTGTCTGAACGTACTGACAGCCAGGGCAAGTGGATGATGAACCAGAGACCAGAAACAAAAGAGGTAACTTGGAATTGAGAAAAGAGTCAAATGCTTCCCATTGGGGAATACTCCACAGGAGGCAGAGTCACCAAACATTTGAGGATTGAGAGGCCACTCCTTTGGAGAAAGTGCTTTGAGGCTAGAAAGACAATCTGCAACAAAGACGAAAGCATATAGAACATGACATGCCAGGGACGTATGTCATGTGTATGGGTTCCAAAAAGGGAGATCCACAGTCTACCCCAAAGGGAAGAAGAACGAGTGTCCTCTTAACAAGTTATACAAGCCACTACCATTGAATAGTCAGAATGAAACATGATTAGTCAAATCCAGACAAGAGGGAGAAAGTGAACTCAAGCATGTTGGACTGATGGAAGTGCCAGTGTGTTAACATGGTAAGACCCTTTGTCCGTAGACCATTGTCCTAAAGCCTCCTGCTGATCGACCCATGCCCCCCAGCTTTGGAGATGAGCATCAGGGAAGAGAAACAAACCTGGATGAGGGGGAGGGATCAGTAAACCAACCACGAAGGGGACATGTTCAACCACCAACACATAGTCAAAGACAGAAGGAGGAAAGTTAAGAGGATAATCCAAAGAAACCCTAGCACAAGACCATTGATTGTCCAGCATCTAGTGAAAAGATCACAAATGTGCCAAACTCAAAGGGAGAAGAGCTTCCATAGAAGAAACATCCCCCAAAGCATTAGAACCTTGCTAGCTATAAGATAATGAACCATAATGGGGCGTGGATAACAGAAAGCTCCATCGATTGCATTCAATAAGGAGAATGGATGGTCAAAAAAACATTCCCGAAATAGCTGAGATTGTTAGGTAGGTAAAAGGAAAAACTTATTCAAATGTAAACTCCAACCACCCGAGCTGCTTGTGTAAGAAGCAAATGAATATGTTATGACCATCCCCATTCAGAAGGAGCTAACTGAAGCCATATGTCCAAGTAGTAGTGTTAGCAAAATCCCGTAAAAATGCAGAAGTCAGGTAAAACATAGACCATATGACAAAAGACATATGGAATTGCAAGAAGTCCAAAGAGCAAGTTACGAAACAGGTACCAAATCATGTGGGAAAAAAACCTAACATAGTGTCTCGAGAAATGAAATATAAGAATGTGTAACGTGGGCATTCTCAGTCCTACAGAAATTGCCCACCTGATTGTGATCAAAGACTACGTATTAAAAATGGAAAGAACCAAGAAGCGATTGAGGCGGAACTGATTGATTCACAACTTGAATCAGCATTGAAGATACACGAACCATAATGTCTGGAGAAGGAGGAGAAATTTATACTGTGAAAAGTGTCTAAAAAGTCTGAAGTAGGCATAGGAAGGCAAACTGACAAAATCGTCCTAAATGGGTTTGGCAGTTGTAGGAAGAAGGTGAGCAATATTGGGAAAAGGTAGGGCATACCCTGGCCCCCAGGGGTATTCACAAACTAAATTAATTGTAAGAAGTATAAATTATAAAGAATTATGAAAATGAAATAGTCGATATAATATAAATTTAAGTAAGTGTGTAGTGAAATATATATATATATGTATAAGATGTTATGTGTTGAAGAAAACAAGAATGTTAAATGTTGTAAAGAATTACTGAGTTCAAGAACTGGGTAGAAATATAAAATAATTCCACTTCGGAATAAGTTACTGTGACAGGAGTCCACACAAACAAAATTAATTGAAGAAATATAAGAGATAAATAATAACAAAAATGAAATAGACATTATATTGTAAAATTAAGTAAGTTTGTATTGACAACAACATATGTATGAGATGTGATGTCTTGAAACAAAAAACAATATAGTTAACCTAATTTACATCATAC